TGTACATCTCAAGCACCAGATCAGTCATGGCGAGCATGGTCAAGTGGCCAGCCTTCAGGCGTTAGCTGCCCACAGAACTCAGGGTTATACACCGTGCCTGCCTTGTCCAGGGTAGCCACATACCGATTGCGGCCCCCACGTTTGCCGTGCGTCTTATAGTGGGCATTGAGGTTGTCACGCCGCGAGAAACTGCGTTGGCACCCAGGGACCCAGCAGACATGAGGTCTCGCTCCTGAATGGCTTGCCAGGTGACGGTTCAAGGTCTTTTGGCGTTTGAATTGGCGCTTGCATCCCGAAAGCCAGCAATTGAACTGTTGCCGTGGGGTGCTGGCTTGTGGACGTCCGTGACCAAAATCGGAGGAATCTTGCGTACGGATGGGATTGGGGGATTGTCGGAAGACGTGACAGGCCTCTGCAACCTGTGTATCTTGGCCAACGTGGTGCCCTCCAAGCCGCTCTAGCCAGGGATCATTGGTATTCTGTGGGGCTGGCAAGGGGCAGGTTCCGTGCAAATTAGGCACCAGGTCAAAATGGCCAGGGGAAGCCTCCAAGGGTGAGTTCGATGGCTCCCAGATAGGCTGGTATCGAAACCAACAGACCACAGGCCGCCATCCGCAATGGCTGGAACCTGGAATTGAGCAACTCATTTGTTGACAAAGATGACCATGGTCTCTGGTTTGGCTGATGTGCAATGGGTGTGTCAAGCCATGAGAGATAGAGTCGCACTTTTCATGCTGGTGGAACTCCATGCCAGGCTGTTCGGTGGGTATGAGATCGATCAGGTCTTTTTGCTCGCTTCTGTCACCGTAGAAGAGTAGTGTGTCGCTTGGGAATAACATATCCGTCTCACATGCTTGCGAGGATGTTGCCGTAGCTTGTTGTACCATTTGTGAACTGTCGCCCACACTAAGCATGAATCGGGATTTCTGTGCCAAAAATGAGGCGAAAGTAGGAGGCATTAACCCCACTGTCAAGAGCGATGTCTCGGTACGAAAATCGATCAGTCTTTAAGAGTGTCCCTTGAAATAACACGGACGAAACAAAAGGTAGAAAAAGTCAGCGAAACTCGCGCAGAAACCTAGAATACCTGAATCATCGCTGCTTGCTCACCCAAGTTGCTAGTTGACCCTCCCTTCAACAATCCTATCGAAAACGAAGTGTTGCCATTTGCTGTGCACGGTTTGATTTCAACGTGATCCTGGATTGTTGACAAAATACATGAACAGCATATAAAGACGCCTGTTTGTGAGGCGAGATGGTCGTTGATTCAACGTTGACCAGACACCACCAGTGAGGCTAGTTAAATCCGGGCTTTTGTCGCCGACAACTAGGAATCAAGCAGACACGAGTGCCCGGCTTGATACAGAATCCCCAGTCTTTCACCAGTCGCTGACATGGCTGTATCAGTTGTTGCTCACCGGTCCTGGCCAGCCAAATGCTTTCGAATTAAGAAATATAGCGCTTGATTTTATGTAGCCGTTGAAGCTGCGAGACATGATTCAACGCTGCTTGAACAACTTATTTGGCTACTAACATATCCATCAGCATGGGAATAGGGGTGCTCAACCACCGTAAATACCAAATAGCCATCAAAATCAAATAAACGACTGCGTTGAGACCCATACCTCTGTCGTAACACTAACAAGGTGACTACGTGTCTCCAGGTGGACTATAAGAGAGGCTATCATCCTGTACAGACTAATTTCTTTGCCTATCACGAAATGGATGCTCCAAGGAACGTACCGGACCAAAATAATGAAGGAGGTCACCAGCCGACTGGACTGCCAATTCAGGTTGATAAAGGCCAACCAAAGGACGCTTCTGATCCCAAACCACGACAGGTAAGTTAGGTGCATTCCATACAGTATCAGATCTTGTGGCTGACTGCTGGCATTCTCCCTCCCGCAGCTGGAAACCGACCAGAAAGAAACCTTGACGATTGAGCGCTTTCAACCCATCTTGGCGACACTAGCAAATCTCGAACGCGACGATCCGAAACTCGCATTTCAAGCGGCTCGATCCGTGGGGCTCTATCGACGTCTATGTGCATCATGTGTGCCTAGGCACCTCAGTGGCGAGGATGTCGACCAGAAGAGTCAATTCTCGAAGGAGGCTAGCATTAACCCGAGCAAAGAGAAGAATGGATCTCAGCTTCCTCATGATGAGCAGCGATTACGACTGCTTTCCTTTGAGCAGGCTTTGGAATCGTCTTGGGAACGGATGACTGTCGTGCTCAATGGCTGGAACCAATGCTCGAAAAGTAGTCTGGGCATGTTGGTGGATGTCAAAACAACCGAGTGAGGGGTTGCCAGTGGGAAGTGTGCCATGTATTTCTTTACTGCCATGTAATGAACCAAACAGAGAACAAGTGAAGCCCGTACTCTAACGTAGTGTCAATCCTTTGACGGGGTTTTGTTTTATTTAGAGAATGTTGTACAAAGCACATTGCCATTACGTGACTATTGACGACCTTGCGGACGTCGTTCAGAAAACAATGGAAACACAAGTACAGTCACATGAGTGCGTCGCATTCACTTATAGTTTTCCAGGAGATTATGTACAAAGACCGACGGATCCAGGGATGGCGTCGTGGGTAGTGTCGCTAGCGGGGACAAGGTAGAGTGACCAGAATACGGTAGAGGTTCTGTGCGCGGCCACAAAGATAATCGGAAGCAGGGGGGCATCGCTCCAGGATTGGCTAGGGATATGATGTCCAGGATCTGTCCACGCACCCGGCGTAGATTCCCCATGGCCGTTTCAACGCGGGGCAGGAAGAACAGATGCTCTCCCACCGTCTCGCCAGTTAACTGATGAAATCTTGCAAGCCTCAACTCCACCCAGTAGACCTCTTCAAAAAGAAAGAACGCTGACATGTAAAGGAAGAGGTCATCAGCTTGAGTGGCGAACGACAGAGGATCTGGACCCGTCCACTTAAAGCCCGACTGGTTATCGTTGTTGGGGTGGAAGAAGCATTCGACCAAGGGGGATTCTTGTCCCTCGTGTGCTACAGACTTTAATCTATTCGGAAAGTCTAGCGCAATATCTTCGTGATCTGCGCAAAGACAAGGAGGCGGCGCCGGTATACAAGAGGATTCTCGCCAGATTGCGTGAAGGTCGAGATCGAAGTCGATATCTAGTCTGTTGTGAGCACAGGCACGCGGTGAAATAAAGTTATACGAACCATCTTGACCAGATTTGTCCATCTGCTTCAATTCTTTCCCGGTATAGTCGTTGAGGGGGAGGATGTGGCAGCTACGTTTGAACTGGCAGTGAAGGGTTGCTGGAGGTTTAATATAATGGCGGAGGCCAATTATTCTTTCAATGTGGCAGACAGAGGACCAGTAAATCAGATGTTAATTGTTCAAGGAAAGAGAATCGACTAATGTACTAAATATTCGTGAAGCGTTGATCTTTCACCAGGATGAACGAAACGTCACCGTCGGTCGTATGGCCGCTTCACCGGGTATTCACCAACGTTGAGATATCCTCGGTGAGATATACCCGTCTACCGTCCCACAACACCGGCGCTTATATGCACTGCAAGGAGAGATCTCTTTCATCTAACAGCCATCTCTTCACTCTTGAAGCTGTCGACACAGCGACGTGGTGTTGTAACGTAGAACTGGCCCTAGCTACATCGGAAGGAGACCAGCCGAAGGGGATCTGCTCAGGCTACTTAGTTTCGTTCGTTTGTTATCTGAAAGAATCAGGCATTGATTTTCAATCTTGAGCAAAGTCATGGTGCTGAGGCTTAGCTTCAGATAGGGGGCTAGTAGGTGCTGGAAATCAGAGTGGGCGCCCGTCAAACGACAACTGGCCACGGAAATCTGGATCGTAGTCGGGGCTCGTCTCGTCGAGGGTAGCGACATAACGGTTGCGACCACCGGGTCTCGCATGTGTCTTTGTACAATGGACCTTGAGGTTGTCGCGGCGTGAAAAGCCACGGTGACATCCAGGCACCCAGCAGACATAGGGTTTTTCCTTCGAGTGACTCCTTGTATGGCGCTCGAGGTGGTCCTGACGCTTGAAGCCCATTCTGCACCCAATGATGCTGCATTTGAATTTTCGCTTATGCAGATCAAATTCCTGGTCCTTAACTTCCGGCTTATGATCAGGCTTCTTGTCATAAACGTGACAGTCAGGCAGTGAAAGATCGTTTACGCACGCGCTCTTGTCTATCTGGGAGTGCCCTGGTGGTTGATCAAGAAACCAAGGGGAGATACCCGTATCAGCGGGGATAGGACAGACTTCAGCAGCGGCGCCAAGATTTGCTGTAAAATTTAAGGGCTCAGGAGTAGTTTTCAAAGTATTTGGAAAAACCAGCGCGGGGCTGATAGTCTGCATTGTCGAGAAATCAGCCCCGGCAGCCGTTCAGTTACATTGGACATTGGGATCGAGTCAATTCGTCGCAACTGACAAAGCCTCAATGGTGGCGGGCAAAGTATGGAGGTCGATTCAACGGAATGGTCTGCTACCTGAGAAAGATAGAGGCTGGGGATGCCATGGTCCCTGAGCGGGATTGGCGTATGATGATGAGAACCCCGGGAACAGTAGTAGACCTGGATGACTCCATGCTCTGCCCGATTGTCACATTGCAGCGAAGCAGCGTCAGTGCGGTTAGCCTTCCATATGCTGTCATCGAGGTTGGACCAGCTTGGCAGGACCTGTGAGTCCAGATAATGGAAAGGGTTTGTCGCTGCGGTTGGCAGCTTGACGGTTGAGAACTTGGTATCATCGTGCTGAACATGAAGCTCTGGG